CATTTTTGGCTTTAAAAAATATTGTTTTGCAAATGGGTTTTCTAACTGTAAAAATAGAGAGGAAAATGTGAGGGCGGGGGGGTGGTGGTAAAGTCGGAAAAATAGCGTGAAGTCAATATTTATTTTTAAATTGTAGACCTATAAATTATAAAATTAAAAAAAAAAAAAAATCTTATATGATTATTATTATTATTTGAATTACTTTACAAAGCAATAGTTTAATAATTCCCCTCCTAGTAATAAAAAACAACAAAATTTAAAATCAACGTATACATCTCAATATACCTATAACCCATTACTCACTGCATATCACCAGCGACTAGTATAACATTGTATCTATAACGGGGCTGTTGCAAGGTGACCTATTAATAATTTTATTTTTACGCGCAGGTACGCCCGACGGCATTATTTGTTCTGCTGCGTTTCTTGAGATCGCCTATGTAAAATTAAAATGTGTATGGAGCAGTGTGCAAAAGCCTATAATTTTAGCGATTTTAACAGGAATAGACAATATTATGCGATTTAAAATACTGATTTATACCTTGATCTATCAAAATGGTGCAATAAACCAAGTGACCTAATTCCATTAAACAATGTCATGTGACCCTACACGTGGCCTAGACTTTAGGAAAAATTACCCACATTGCAACTCGACAGTGGTGCATATTTTTATCAAAATGGCGGATGTATGATTGTAAGTTGGTCAAAATTTCGAAATGACATCTGTGTAATTATTTACTTTTACTTACTGCGACTCTCACATATTGTACAAGTACCATAGATCTATCGATATACCAAAGAATACCGTAATATATTGTCTGTGTGCAAAGTTATTGATCGTCAAATGTGGCCACTATAACAGTATGTACTATTCCAATGTTATTGTCGTTTCCGAGGGCTTGAGCACCCCTCTATTGGGAATAGTGTAATATGTTTCCTCATTATTTCCAAAGGAAGCTAAGCGCTTAGACAAAACAATTATGATAAATAATTGCTACTTTACGTCTTTCTTTAATCCCTGATACAAATCATAACCATTTATCACATTTTGACTTTAACCTCAATAGAATTGTTTTGTTGCACACCTAATACCAAGTCTCATATAGTAAATAATATAGGACTAGAGCTTTATTACTATTAGTGTAGTGTAGGCATATAATTGGGCCTAGGCCTAAATAAATAATAGTAGTTATAGTATAGACCCTATATGTCTCATGAGGATACATAAAGCATCAGTAGGCCTACATACCATTAAAGAAAACTAAATATTATAAAATACATAGATTATAGATCTAGAACTGTAGAACTAGAAGCATTATTATTATTTAAAAATTTTTTTTTAAAGTTAAAGTTTTTTAAAAAAATAATGAAAGAAAATACTTTTCATAGCCTAGCCTAATTAGACCTAATTATTTGTAGGCCTATATAAAATCATAAGGCTATATAAGGCTTATAAGGATGAGGACTATATAACTAGGCTATAATATACATATTTTATAGTCACTAATTGGCAATGGCTAATGCATTAAAACGTTTCAATTATAATCTTTAAAAGAATAGCAATTTTTTAAAATAAGCTTGTTTATTTGGCTGTTTTAGACTTGAAAAATACTCACCAATAGGCCATCATGACCTAGACTTAGACCTTTTTTTAAAAACAAAGTCACCCTTAAGAGTTATTAATACACATCTTTTCTCATTAAAAAAATTAGGATAAGTATTTAGAAATTATGCCAATAGTCTATAGTTAAAGCCAGTGAAACAGCATATTCTTAACAGAGTTCTGAAAACTAATATTAGTTTAATAGAGTGGTTTATCTATTTAGAAAATATTCCATAACATATTTTCAGTTAGATAACCCCTTATTGTCTCATAGATCCACTCTTTCTCAAAAGTTGTATCCATAATTTTTGTGTGGTTAAATATACTTCAAAAACAATAAATGTAAGCAAACTACTTGTATTGAAATTTAAATAACTGTTATTGAGCTGTGTCTCAGATAATTCTTAATAATTTTAAGTAATCAATCATCTTTTATACCAGTGGGCTGCACATAAAGCATTTTTTAAAATCATATTTTTGCTAGGCATATTTGTTGGCTTCTATTCTAGTTATATATATGACTGAGTATCATTAAGTGATATAATTAACTCCATCCTTTATATAACCTTCAAGTTTAAACTTATTGAAATTCAGTGCTGGCACAAAGTCCAATCATATAGTCCCAACTTTCTCCTAATTCTTTTAAATATTTAAAAAGTAATCCTGTAATTTTTGGCATCCTGGAATGGGGATCATGACCTACTAAACACCCCCACCCACCCCCCATGACCTCCTATCAACACACACAAACACCTCTTGCACCCTCACCCCCCAGTTGACCATATAAACACTTTTTAAAGCTGCATTCAAGTTTCTTTCTGTCTTTTTTAAGGCATTAAATTTAATGTTCAAGAAAAAAAGTTGTGTCTCTTAAAACTTAAATGTTTTATAAGTAACGTTTAAGTTCAATAATTATTGAGTATTGTTTTGTTTCACTTCTTTATGGCCCATCCTTGTGTTCTTCTAAGAAAAGACTATTGAAATACTTTAAATATTTTAAATTTGTCATTTTTAATCTAAAGTTTCACTTTGTTTTTTTGTTTGTTAATGAATGGTGCATTCTAAAATTGTTCTCTAGGTGAAATGCTAATACCATAGATCTTGTTGTTAACATTTTGTGTGTGTTCTAACACGCACATTTTCTAATTTTATCATTAGTGGTTAAAGTAATTCATGATTTTCATAGTTTTTTGTTCATCTGACCACTTGAAATGGCTTTTTCTTTGCTTTTTGTGAATGGGGAGTTTGTTGGTGGTTTTACAATGTGATTCGGAGTGCTTTTAAAATTATATGCAAGCTTTAAAATAAATTTACTTGAATAGGTAATAATTGTTAATAATTTATGGTTGTAGAGATTTAATATTTTTTTAGGATGTGGGGTCTGGTTTGTGTTAGTTAGGTACAGCTTACAAAATTTTTTTGCAGAATGGCAGAGCTAGATAATAATCATGGCTCGAACCAAAAAACAAACCTTAGAGAATGCCTCTGAACGTAAACGACAAATTCAAGAGGAAATACTCAAGGAAACTTTGGCTGCAAAAAAGAAGAAGAATGTCTCACAAACTCCCTCATCCGTCAAGGATTTTGACCGTAACAATCATCTGTCACGAGAAGTTGTCACTTCTTTGGAGAGTTCAGGGATGGAAAATGTTGAACCAGAACCTCCTACTTTTCCTGATGGAGAATCCCATAACATTAAAGGTCATCTACAGTTTCAACTTTTTCAACAGTTTGTTTTACCATTTCCCATACTACTAATACACACTTATCATGCACCCCATGTTACTAGCCCCTTCTGCTTTCTGTTTGGATTAAGTGCACCGCAATAAGGGGATACTTAGTCCTTTGGCTTTGTGCTTGTATTTCCTTTGCTTTCACCAACTTCATGAAACACTTGATGCTTTACAGTTTTACTTGATTTAGCATAACCTAATTCTAAGTCAGCTGCAATAAATTTTCTTTAAATTGATGTATAAAAGATTATTTACAAATATATGTTCCATTAGATTTTTATCACATTAAACAGATTAGAATCATACAATTTATTAACTTTGATGAAATCTTTCTCAAAGCAGTCATATTTTAAGGAAAGTTAATAGAAACCTGCTATTTAAAAAAATTAAAGAAAAAGATTACCAATATGTTTGATGCTTGCATGAACACTTTTTTTTCCCCTTAAAACTCTATCTCTCTGTCAATCTACAACATTGTTGAATTATTCAAAAACTGTGTAACACAAGAATTAGTTTCATTTAGATATGTGTCTAATAGTAAAAATTATACAATTAATCATTGTTAGGAACCTTCCCTTTCATTGCTTTTGGTTTGTTGTGTAAAAAGAAGGTGAATTTTTACTATAATGTTCCTTTTGTGACACAAGGACTGTAATAGCACTTAGTATTTTATTATCATATACTGCATAATTTTGTGAAGCTGTTTTTATGCACTTTTATTAAAATTTGCTTTTATCATTAACTTTTCTGAGGAAATTGAGTTTAAAAATTAAATTGTAAGGCATTAGAACTTAGACAATGCCAAAAAGTGACTTCTAAGCATATATCTTCTTGAAGATATTCTAAACTTCTTAATTTATGGCATTAAATTAAATTCACAGTTTGCTTCAAAAGTCTCTTAGTTATTTGAAGGTCTAGAATTTTTGGTTGGGGTGGGGTTGTCAAAATAGCTGATACAGGCACTCAATCCCATCTAAGCATCATTATTTACTTAGGGGCATGCATAATTAATAAGAATATCTTAAGGAATTGTAATTAAGGCAGTTTTTAAAAAAACACCAACTTATTTGTGTGAGGCAAATTGCACTTTCCATTGCTGAAATTACACTGTATTCCACATCATTTTTATACCAAAACACCTCTAGTGAAGGCTGAATGAAGAAGTTGGAAATGTTTGCTGATAAGATGTAAATGTGGAATGGGCTGTAGTATTTCATTTCATCAGGGCATACATTATTTGAACATATTAACTTAAAAAAAGAAACAGCTTAGATTTAACTGTTATTAATTCCCAAATCTGTTAAAATTTGTTCAAATGACAATCTTATAGATTCACCCAATTAATAGATTTATTTATAACCTAACTTTGATTTTAAAAACTCTTTTATGGGGATAGTTTTTTTTTTTTTAGATAGTGTGAAAATAATAATAAACTATAGTTATTTTCTGTTAGATTTAGCTTTAGAAATGCATTAAATTAGAAAACATGAATGGATCATTAATATGTTTACATTCCATTTCAATTGGCATTTTGATTTATGTTTTCTTTTATTTTCCTCCCCAGAAATCTTAATTCCAAAGCCACTAAATGCACCAGAGGTGGGCAGTATTGATGTTGCCATGAATCCAGTCTCTAACTCAGCCTCTTCCAACTGTCCCCCACATGATTCCTATTTTTCAGGGGGTGAGGATCTTCCCAAGGCAGTGATATGTATTCCAGATATCTGCAAAAGTCCGAGCAAGCCAGTTGAAGATGAGCTTGCTTTCAGAGATTCATACTTACTAAATCATGGACTGAGAGGAAAGATTCTTCCTACATCAACAGACAATATCAGTTTGGAACAAAATGATTCAGAAAACCCTCATTCTAATCAACGTTCACAAAAAAGTCCAAAGCACCCTGCAGGCACCAAAAAGAGCCCAACTTGTGATGTCAGTGCATCACTTAGGTCATTAAAAGCTGCATCTGAGCAAGTCAGAGAAGAAAAAAGTCGAAAATCCAAATCTCAGTCACTTAACTCCTCTCCACAGCGCACCAGAGTTTCTAGAGCCAGTGTTACTCCAGGTCGTAGATCACCAAGACATCATTCTCCTGTAACTTGTCCCGACTTTAACCATCAAAGACCACAAACAGGATCACTCAAAGACCCTATAAGTACCAATGATGATAAGCCAAAAGTCAATATATTTACAGACAGCATGGGCGTAGACTTGGGAAAGAGAATCAGATCACCTAGAAGATTAAGTGATGACATGATAGCACTGCCCATATTCTCTGTTCGCAGATGGAATAACTCCCCAAAGGAAGCTCTTGGGGGACATGGGTCCAAGTGTTTTGATGAGAATACATTTCATGATAACTCGGTGTCACCATCAAAGGTTTTAAACCCAAATGATGTCTTTAAATCACCAGCGTCAAGTCCACTCTCTAGTCGTAAGTCTGGCTCGTCACCTTTAACAAGTCCTAACTCTGGCAAAAAGTTAGGCTCTGATGGGTCTGGGAAAGTGTTAACAACATTAAAAAGTGGTGAGACTTGTAATGCACAAGATGCAAATGCCAGAACTATGAAAAGTGAAGAAACCTGTGTGTTAGATCCATTCCTAATAAGTACTGTAAAGGAAGAGCCCATTTCAGAAACTGAACACTCTGAAGACGAGAGGGTTCCTAAATCCTATCCTTTAAGGAAAACAAAGTTTGTTGGCTCAAAAGGGCTAAACTCTAGTCAAGAGGTCAAGAGTGCAAGAAAATTTGGTCGAAAAAGTGACAAAATAAAACAAGAGATGGAGCCAAGCAGAAGTAAGGTAGAATTACTGATGTCTTCAGATATCACTGACAATACTAACATGATGCTAACTAATCAAATGCTCAAGGGAATAGACCAATCTGAAAACAACACAGTGCCTATCTCTACTTTGAATCAGCATAAAATTGAAAGCCCTTCAAGTTGTTCACTTTTGCTCGACACTTCAAATGTGTTTAAAGAGACCAAGAAGAATACTGAAAAGTTAAAATTTTTAGATCACAAGATAGAGTCCTCTTCCGATTCTTCTTCTAGTGTTAAATCCCATCCATCTCTACTCTGTGCAATGTTGGTCGGCGGTACGGAAGTTGCTCATACCTATGCACAGGATCGTGTCAGGTATAAACCTCATGCAGATGAAATATCTGACTCGGATACAGAGACATTGAGAGTTTCTCCACATAGTGTCACTTTAACAAACTATGCCAAATTTGGCAATTCTGTGTTTGATTATTGTAAAACTCAGTCAGAATCTGCAAATCCTGGAGCTGTCAAAGAACAAAACTTTTCTAAAAAAGACATTGTGATAGGGAGGAGTGATTCTTGCAAGAACAATGACTTTACAAATACAGGGTCCATTGATCCAGAGTATGTTGATTCAGAAGGCTCTCTCAGTGGTCAAAGTGCTAAAGGTGTGTTTAGTGGTAAATCTATATCAATTAAAACTAAGAAATTGAATATTGACTTATCTTCCAAACTAAAGCTGGTCAATGAGAATGTGTTGAAACTGCTAGACATTGATGCAAAAGATGGATTTCTTCCCATGCAACCTGAAAATACTGGCCCCAGTGATACTTCTTTACATTTGGTGGAAACCCAATCAGAAGAAAATATTAAAAGTGGCCTGTATGATCTCATTGACAATCTGGGTCGCAGACTTAAAGATTCCAAAGATACTATTCCATACTCCACACCTGTGGATGTAGAACTTGTTCAGAAACTTTTAAAGTCATGTCCAAAGTCTAAACCTAATATTCTGATGGTTGGGGCAGCAGGGAAAGTGGAGAATATTGAGAACATTTCAAATGAAAACAACTCAATGGAAACGGAACCTGGGAAAATTCAATTAAATGTACCTGAAAATATCACTGAAAATTCAACTCAAATGAGTAAAGATAATGATGAGGTCTCATATCCACCATCGGAATGTGTGGATCTAACAGCAACGCAACTGCTAACAATAAGGGATAATTCAGCCTCTGTAGCACAAAATAGCAAAGAAGAAACCCCATCTTCTTCACAGTCATCCATAAATACATCCTCTCCAAGCTTGAATGACAGTCTATGTGAAATAGATTTAGATCTTCTCACTGCGACTGCAACCAACGCTATAAACTATGTGAAAACCACACTTCAGGAATCTGTGCCAGACAAAAAGCAACCAGGATTACCAAATGACTCTCAGGAAATAAAATCAGTGCATGCCCAAAGTGAATCTGACAACAGCCTTAAACGAACATTTCAAAAATCTAAAACATTTGATGGCAATGAAGCTGGATTTCTATTATCACACAATCAAGGTGGATCTTTAAGAAGGATTAACAGTAGTCCACAAATAAATTTGAAAATTTCAACTTCCCCATTTCTTCCAGCAACTTTACTAAATGCTGGTAAAGAAACACAGGTGAAATCTAAACTTGGCAGCAAGATACCTGTACCTGGTACAAGTTACAACATTCGATTATCTAAGAGGACTTGGAGAATGCCAAGAACTATTGTTGAGCCAAAACCATTATCTATACTCTCTGAGTTGGAGGAACCTTCTTCCCAACCTAAGAATGTATTTATATGTCCCAATCTTCAAAAATATTTAAGTGTTCCATCTAACAGAATGATTGTGCCAACAGAGAAAAGAAATGAAATGCAAGAAATTGATGCTAAAGCTAAGGAAAAAGAAGAAGCTAGACAAATTATGATGAAAGAAAGAGATGAAAGAGAAAAAAAAGTAGAAGATGAAATAAATACTGAATTCTCAAAATTTGAGCCAGATTTTGATGAAATAGATGGAATTCTTTTTATGTCATTTTCTAATGAAATAGAACTGAAGGCTCATGTCAGAGTAGAGAAAACTTTGGAGTGGGACAAAGATGACACCATGCTGAGAATTTCTAGAGCAAAGGCTTTTGAGGAAGCAAAGGCGCACAATGAAGACATGGGAGATTTTAAATTGAAACACCTCAGGGGACAACATATGCGCTGGAAAAAATACCGTCGCCTGTACAGTGATGAAGTAAAAATGCTGCAAGATGCTAAGAAGAAAGGCATTCCAATAGATGTTTTGTTACCTCAGAAGAAGACATCTGATATCACTAAGATTAAAGGGTGGAAGAAGAGACTTGCTACCACACCAAGCACACCTGCCGAGAGAATGGATAATGAATACGAATTAGATGATGATTATTTTTATTTGGATGAGAGCCCAGAAGACTTAAAATCTATCTTGACTGAAGATTTTGATAATTCTGTAAATACTCCGTCTATAGAAAATACTGCTGCATCATCGAGATCAAAGCGACGACAGGGTTTCAGCCACCAGAAAGCACACAGACAGTTGTTTAGAGAGTTACGCATGGATTGGGAGGACAGAATGATTCATCGTAAACTTGGTGGCTGGTCCCTTAAAGGGAACCGACCAAAAGCATTTTCTGGCGCAGCCAAAAAGAGGCAGCAAAAGAAAACAAAGGAAAACACAGAAGATTCAGTAACTCCGGACACAAAAGATGGAACTTTAGACTTGAGCGCTGGAGATGCTGAGCCTGAGATGTTTCTTGACATCAAAGATTCTTTTGAAAGTCCTGAAGACAATGACAATGATATTAAAAAACTATCTGATTCGATAGAAGACAAAGATTGTTGTGAAATGAAGCACTCCTGTGATATAGCTAAGAAAAAGAAGATGACAAAGTTGATTTATCCCTTGGTATGTATTACTTTACAGTTTAAAATGAAGTTTAAATGAAATACTGTTAAAGGGCATTTTTAAATGTAAATATCTTTGGATGTTCTTTAATGTCAAAGACATTTTGACCATAAAATAAAACCCTTTTATGACTTAAAAAACATAATAATATATACTACATGGATAAATTATCAATCCCTTTTCAGCTGACTGAAAGAATGGCTAGAAATGCTTTAAAGACACTTGAGGTTGGTGTCATTGGTAGAAGTGTGCGGAAAAAAAACAAGAAAGAGCGGCAAAGTTCCAGCAACATTCCTGCACTGACATTAATTGCATTACCTAAAACACCACCAGTTGTCTCATTGGGAGAGGAAAACATCTACACTCCTCTCAGTAGTGCTGGAGCGACTGTTGGATCATCGCCATGTTCTTCTTTAAATACCCCTCAACAAACATCACAGACATCTTTAGCGTCAACTGTCAGCACCCCACACGAGATAGACCAATTAGAGGAACCAGTCATGGAGGGTGTGGAAATAACTACTGACAATATTTCTAGTCCATCCATTGATTCTTCCTCTATCAAATCTTGTAGTAAACCAGGTCAGTTAAGTCCAAATTTTTTTTTTTTTTAAACACATTAATTTGAACCAAATTATTAATAAAGGGATGGCCATTTGAGGACCTCTGATTTTGTCTGTAATTCATTTACAGGATTTTACTTTGAAGCAGCTCACATTGGCCTATCCCCCGCAACTTCCCTAAGAAAATAAAAATTGTGTTTGAACCTTTGGAGTATGAACCAGAGCAAAAATTCTATTGAATGTGTGAATTACCAGAGCTCATTTTGAATTTAACATAGACCTTTAAAATAATATTTTTTTATCGAAATTAAGAAATAGACAGGTAGCAACTACCTTTGTTTAGACCAGCGGTTCTCAACCTGTGGGTCGTGACCCCTTTGGGGGTCACACGACCCTTTCCAAGGGGTCGCCTAAGACCATCTGAAAACACATATACTCTACAACTATAAAGTATCCTAGAAAATTAATTTTGTTGTTGGGGGTCGCCACAACATGAGGATATGTACTAAAGGGTCGCGGCATTAGAAAGGTTGAGAACCACTGGTTTAGACAGTAAATAAATGAGATGTTTAAATTATAAAGTATAATCCATCAGTTATTTTGTGATAATTTCTTGTAGTTTCTTTGTTGAAGCTATATGATTAAAAATTTATTTCTTAAAATCCAGGTTGTCGTTATGGCTGTATTTGTCATCTATGTTCTGTGGGTGATGTTTCAGCACCACCACCAAGTCCCAAAGTTAAACCTGCAACTCTGTCTTGTGATAAAGAATATTGTCGTCTAGGGTGTATCTGTGATAGTATAGATCCAGAAAAGCCTATACCTAACTCCCCTCACTGCGGGAAAACATCTTGCATGTTACAGTGTGTCTGTCCTGAACCTGTTTGTCATGATGGTAATGACGACATTCCATACCTTCCATCCATGAAACGGCGACCTAAACCAGGAGAACGGTTTTCCAATCTTCCACAACGGGAAAGAACTCACCGCGCTTCCAAAAATTTAGATGCTATTACTAGAAAAGCAATGATGCTCTATGAAACCAGTGAAATTTACTGTGAAAAAGTTGACAGAGTTAAGAAGAAGGTAATTTCAAAATTCAATTTTTCATATATTTTTTCTTGCCAGTGCATTCTAGTAAAGAATTAAATTTAATAATTTGAATGTAATATATTGCTTTTATAAAGTGTGTTTACTTAGTTGTATGTATGTGCTAGTATCATCTCTCTTGCTATCACAAAAATCTGAAATTATTAGATATGTAAATAAAAATTAATTTATAGCCCAAATTATTAAAATTTTTATGTTACTTAATTTTGGGTGTGTTTAGATTAATACATTTATGTGCAGACTTTTAGTCTCCTGGATAACAATTTATTTTTCTTCCACCTCTATGTACCATATGGAAAAAAGTGGTGCATGCATCAATGTTTGAGAAAAAGTGGTCTACTGCTAATGTAAATAAACTCTCAATTTTATAATAAATTTCAGCCTGACCTTAATGGGAGTCCAACCGCTACACCTCTGGTCAGTCTGTGCCCAGTGACTGGCTTTCAGGCTTTTCAAAATGGCAACACTTCAGCCTCTCATCTCAGCCCTAATTTGAGCATTGAACTGCTTGCAGAATCTGATGAAGATAGCTGTCATAGTGCTACACCAAGTTTGTTATTTACCTCAAATATACCTCAGGCTGGATACATTAGCAGAGAGGTAATTAAATATGCCACTAGATGGCAACTGGAATTTGAAAACTTAATTTCAAAATACAAGACACTAGATCACCTCATTGAGGGGAAGTAACTCACACATTACAAGTATTCTTATTTTGCACTTTGTTCTCTCCTCTTGTGTCTGCCTACCCACATTTATAGCACTTTCTGAAGGTTTTTTTGGGGAAATCATTTCCCCATAATACTTAAAATATATTTAAATGGTTTAATTATTGCATTTCTGCATACATCTTCAAGTTACAGATAAATTCTAAATTTTTTTATCAGCAGTTGCAAAGCAGTCAAAAGGTGGCCAGGCCATCATTTGTGCTTGATGATGTCAGGCAAACTTTGCCTAATTTAGAACCTTCAGCCCATAAAAGGTTTGTTGTGTTATAAATTCGTTGGCTTAAGACAAAAATAATAACAATTGAACAGCATACTGTTTTAATTATGGTAAACAAATAAATATATCTATTAATAACGAGGGATCAAAATATATTTTATTCCATGACATTTTTCTATTTTGGGACATAAATTTTATAAATAAATTTTAGGAATGAAATACCAGTAAAACTGTTAATTTTAATTGGATTCACTTACATGAAAGGGAAGAGTATATTCCTTGCACCACTGCCCTAGCAATAAATTTAAACAGTAACTGAATTATGTATGGTGCAATTTTTAGATAGTAGGGTGTTATTTAAAGGGAAACTACCTGCTATTTCAGAATGACGCAGGGTACAAACTACACTATTATAATTATATGTAGAGATATACAAATTTGATTTTAAGATTGTTAATAATTATTTATTTTTCACAGAAAGAGAAAAAGTCACCCGTTGTCCAATGAAATATTCAGCTCCTCAACATGTGCAAGGACACAACCTTATAAACATCTTTGTCTACCGCGAAATAAAAAGTCAACAAGCGGTAATGTGTCTGCAAGCACTGATATGTTGATGACTTCTGAGACATCTATTGATAATATTACACATGAGTGTGTCTCAGACCCTGCAAAAACTAAAGGCTTTCAGACAATTGATGTTGATGATGAACCACAAGAAAAACTCCCCAAAATAGCTTCTGTTAAGACCCTTGCACAGAATGATTTGACGGCATCACAGTGGGAAGATATGGCAGCAGAGAATCCCAGAAGTATATCTCAGGCTCCTGAACATGGCACAATGGCCGGTAACATGACTCAGTCATCAAACCCATCTAGGCATAAACCGGCACATCCAGATAGTTCTGACAGGTGCAGTGGTTACTTTGGACAAACGAGACAACATTACGGCTGGCACACTTCCATGGTGTGTCTCAAAGCCAAGTCCCCTCCCTGTCCACAAGAACACAGTGAGGACGATGTCCAGGAGGAAGACGAGGTCAAGCTTCTTGAATTTGCAGCCAATTGCAATTGGGAAGGAGCCAAGAAAGAAATTTTAGGTAAAGTGGCTCAGTGTTTAACAAGAGGCCAATACCCTCAGCCTCGTACCATGAACGTTTGTGAGTTTGTTGTGGAAATTTTACCAAAAGCTCACCAACCAAGTCTTATTCCTCCTGAACTGAGATCAAAGCTGCCAGTTCAGATGTATTCCATCCGTGTGCGAATAACAAGAAGAGAGCACATGAAGAAAGAACAGTCAGATATACATCAGGTTATTGATCTCAGTGAGTCCTCCCCAAATAAAGGAAAGGGAGCCAGACATGCTTCAGAAACTGTCACACGAAGCCTTAATGAACAGTTATACCCTTCAAATACCCATCCCATCACAGCCATCAACAATTCACCAGACCAGGCTAATTCAACATCTGTTGGCATATCAGGCCTTAGCAAATTGTGCATAACTAACTCAGCCCAGAAAAGTTCATGTGTTGTGGTGAAAGGTGAACCTCATTTAAAACCAGGAAGTGTTTACCATAATAGGAGGTCAAGTCTAGATTCAGCTCCAGTGATCTGTCTTGATGACTCACCATCAGCAACTTTTGGCTCACCAACGCTGAATGTTGTGAGAAGGAGAGGCTCATTTATGCAGCTTAGGTTAGCAGGAGCTGCAGCATCAGGCATGGGGGAAACTCCCAGCAATGGAAGTCTTACAACTGTAGGATCTGCAGCAACCCCCACGGGTGTTTCTGTGAGTAACAGCAAACCACCCTCACATGGCGCAACTCAAGTTGTTGTCAGCCCCAAAGATGTCAAGTATGTTAAGATTCCTGGTAAAGATGGAGTGGTAGAAGTTATTGTTGGTCCGTCGGATAAGAAACTGATTAGACTTACAAATAAACAAATGAAAGTCATACCCGGGCAGCATGTGAACTTACCAGTATGTGGGAGCAATAATTTTCCTTCTCAATCTCTTCTAAAAACTCACAGCAAACCAGTAGAGTCACATCTGTCAGGTGCTCACAAAATTCAGGAATTTCATCAGAGGACATCAAATATTCCAAACAGATCATTAATACCAACAAGCATGCTATCAACTCCACATGAAAAATGTTTACAATCAGGTACAGCAGAAGGGATTCAAACAAAGACACCCAACAGCAATGATGAAATGATCATGGTGTTTGATGCAGCACACATTAAGGCTTTGCAAAACTCTAAAGATATCGCTAAAAATCCAACTGTACAACTGGCCAATTCCTCAGTCAAGCCTAATTCTTCAGTGGAAGGGGCTTTTGATCAGAAGCACACCCATTCTGCTGGCTCTCAAACATCTATACATCAAGATAAAATAAACGTCTGTGATAGACCATGCTTCAAGCCATTAGACAATTCTAAACATTTTTCAGGAAATGAAACTAATTCTGACAAGATTACAGTAGCCCCATCTAGTCTTTCAAACCAGTTGCCTTTTGGAGTTGATGTTTCTACATCTAATTCATCGAAATTACTTTCACACGAACTCCAGAGCTTAAAAGTAGCATCAAAGACAGAAAAAGATTCCATCAATTTTGTTGATGCATGCCCTAAAGATTGTGTGGATGAAAGTGGTGCAAACACCCATCACAGTGCTTTGACTGTCAGTCCCTCTTCATGTGACAAAATCCCAGCTTCTGCTTTAAAACTGAATGAAAGAGATAATAGCATCATGGCTACAATTCCATCCAAAACATCCAAATCCGTCTCAAAAGCCTTTGGACCTAGTAGTTTGCTATTACCTTTAACTTCTGCTAAACACATCGGTGACTTTGCTCCTGGAAGCTCTAAGAGAAATGCGTCCTATTTGTCAGAAATATCGCAGCATCCTAAGAAACCTCGAGTGTCAGCTGAAAATTCTCTTAATATTGACGAAGATAGTAATGTTTCCCTCTGCAGTGTATCTGATCTCCACATAGCTGCTGCAAGTCCTGTTAGTTTTGTGGACAGACCCAAAAGTGTCTTGTCAACGTCCATTTCTACAGCATCAACCGATGATTTTCTAATAATGCTGAGCTCTGAAGTAAGTTGACATTTTAATTAATGATAGGGGCTGTCCATATATTAAGTAGCATACATGATATAACATGTTTCTCCTCACCTAGCGCAATTCCCCCTTTCCCCTTTATCAAATGCCTTTGAGAACTTAACATAACTACACTTCTTGGTAAATATCTTTAAATTTAATTTTCTACATCGGTAATATTTATATCAACAAAATAGTGTACTGTTTTTTGCATTTGTCAAATTTCTTCACTTATAGCCAGTTTGATCTAATGCATAATTATCCCGTGTTACAATTAATATTTCTGGTTTCTTATAAAGTAAACATATGTTATTGGGCATATCAGCACCAGCAAGAAAAACACATGCTTTTTTTTTTTTTTTAATCATAATTATAACATTAGTGTTTTAAGCTTCTGTTAATCGTAAACATGTGTCTGAACCCCTAACATATGCATCCATACAAAAACTGAATCCTAACCTCCTCCCCCAGTATATACATAATATATTGATGGCCCCACATATTTTTTAATTGATTCTGTGAGGGGGGAAAAATTATGAGTTGATTTATTTTAGCCTTTTAAATAGAATAACTTATTTATTTGTATTCATAAGTATGAAATTAGCATTGGTGGTTAAATAGGAACAGAATTGATGGTGTTTGTCTTGTCGGAAAACTTTGTCCTCGACATGACAACATTGTGACAATCTGAAGCTAGAAAACAAAGTAGGTATACTAAAACTTTCCAGCAGAAAAAATGTCCTATTTCAAACCAATTCAGCTGTAAAAAAAAAGTCAAAGTTGTTTACAAATTAAAGGAAAATTCAATATTTTCTTAACAGAAGAATAACATATGAAGAGATACTCTTACCAAATAAAAGAGCTTCCCACTTTTCAGG